GCATAGTGGCTCAAGCCTGTAATTCCAGCATTTTGGGTGGCGGAGGAGAGAGGAATGCCTGAGTCCAGGGGTTTGAGACCAACCTGGGCAACTTGGTGAGACCTCATCTCTACAATAAATCAAAAAATTAGCATGGTGACACATGCCTTTGGTTCCAGTTACTTGGTAGGCTGAGGCAGAAGGATCAGCTGAGCCCAGAAGGTTGAGGCAGCGGTAGCCGTGAACATGCTACTGCACTTCAGCCTGGGCAACAGACTGAGACTCCAACTCAAAAAAAAAGGAGCCTTGGCCAGCCGCAGTGGCTCACACCTATAATCCTAGCACTTTGGGAGTCTGAGGTGAGAGGATTACCTGTACCCACAGGTTCGAAACCAGCCTGGGCAACTTGGCCAGACCTCATCTCTACAGTAAAAAAAAAAAAAAAAGTTAGCCAGGTATGGTGGCACATGCCTGTAGTCCCAGCTCCTCGGAAGGCTGAGGTGGAAGGATCGCCTGAGTGCAGCAGGCCCAGGCTGTGGTGGCTGTGAGCCTGCCACTGTACTCCAGCCTGGGTGACAGAGTGAGACTCCAACTCCAAAAAGATTGGAACCTTACCCAAAGACATTTAGACATTTAGCTAGTAAAACACAAAGCTAAAATTTGTCCCAGGACTTTTCTCAATGCCTGTGTTCCACTATTCCAACTTGCCACTTTTTAGTGTATCATCATCATCCCCCCCCCACTTACAGTGTATCCAGGAAGTCTGTATTTAAATACTCTTAGGCCCAGGGCTCAAGCCAGTAATCCCAGCACTTTGGGAGCCTGAGGAAAGAGGACTGCTTGAGTCCAGGGGTTTGAGACCAGCCTGGGCAACTTGGTGAGACCTTATCTCTACAATAATTAAATTAGCTGGGCATGGTGGAGCATGCCTGTAGTTCCAGCTACTTGGAAGGCTGAGGCGGAAGGATTGCATGAGCCCAGCAGGTCAAGGCTGTGGCCATGGGCATGCCACTGCACTCCAGCCTGGCAACAGAGTGAGACTCCGACTCAAAAAACCCCACAAATCTCAAAAAGCAAACTATCTTCTGGGTAAGAGATGCACAAGTCCTCCAGTTAACATTTGCAACTGCTCACAGTCATAATGGGAATTTATTAATCCTAGTGTCTAATCTAAATCCTACTAACATTCCAGTCTACATTTTGGAAGATTACAAATTCCACTTTTCCCTGAAATGAGACAAGACCAAGAAAGCTTTGATCAGGAGACTCAGTATGACTTGGAGCTTCAGGTAACAATAATCTGAATTATTTTTTAAAAGGTATTACTAGCAGCCAGGTGTGAAATACAAAAGAATGACTTGGGAATATGGACTTGGGAATATGGAATTGCTATTATTTCCCCCAGTTTCTTAATAGTTTACTGGTTAGTATTAATAACAATTAAGTTCATATGCTGTCAAAGATGATTCTGCAATTACTATGACTTGGAGGTCTGGTGAATTTGACCATTTCACACCTCAAAAAGTAACAAAATGTGTTCTTACTCATCTGTTACTTTTGGTACTATAATCTCAAACTGTTGGTTGCTTTTTAACAGTTGATGGCAATTTAAGGCAATGGCAAATGTTAGGGGATTGCAAGAGAGACACCAAACATTACTGAGCCACCATCTAAGAAGTATCTCATACAGACAGATTAAGCCCAATGAAACCTGGGTGACTTCCTTCCTACTAGATGAACTCAAGCTGTATAAGAATATTTCACATATCCGCAAGGAAGAAGGCAAAAGATGGAACATTAGGCGGGGTCCATTTCAAGTCAGACCGATTCTTCAGAGGTTTTCATCACTACTATACAAAGAGAGGAGGGCTCCTGCTTCATGGATTCTGGAGCCACCAAAATCCCCAACCAGTACCTATAGAAACAGCTTCACAAAGATTACTGAGGATATACCAAACAACATGGCTAACAGAAGCTTTCTCCCCAAAAGCTAGTTCTTTTTTAACAGAAACCAAACTTCCTTATGTATCTTTTCCCAGGCTTAGCCAACAGCAGAACTGCAACTTTGTGTGGCATGGTCTGATAGGTTGGATTTTTCCCAAGCAAGAGGTAGACAGCTTTACGCCAGGACTAGATTTATGGTCAATCTGGGGGTGTGTCTTTTTTTTTTCTTTTTCTTTCCCTCCAAATCATCTCAGAAAATGCCTGGTTATTGTGCCTTGAAACGTAATGATGTCGGACTTTAAGTACCACAAAGGTCTGGAAAAGAAAGTTCCTCGATTCCAGCTATGGCTAAAAACTTAGGATTTCTCTAGCAGTTGTTTTAATCAACCAAAGTTGGTTTGGCTTTTGTCAATGAGCCAAGCAACATGAGACTTCTGAGCTAAGTGCAGAGGGGCTGCTTGTCAGCATGACTCCCAATGGGGTGGCTAACATGGAATATGCTCCAGAGTCTAGAAATCAGGACAGCACAGCTGCTGTTTTCCTGCACATGCACCTCCAGCTTGGTAGGTGGGGGAGGAAAGGAAAGAATATCGAAAGAATATTAAAGTAAATTGAAACAAGAGGCCTGCTTTACATACAAGATTCACTGCTTAAAACTAGGATGAATCCAGAGGTCCAGCATATGATTAAAATACGTTTACTGGCACAATGACACACACCTCTTCCACCCTGCTGTTCTCTAACCCAAGCCCAAAACCCAACTTGGCCCAGCTGGCCAAAAAAAAAAAAAAATTGAGGAGAGAAGAGGAGAACCCAAAATGTAGGCAACAGCCCATAGGCTTTTGAAAGTACTTTAAGGTAGTGAGGTTCAGAACAAATTCCTCACACCTCCCTCTCCCACTACCCTGTGGCCCTATGCTAAACACAGCAGTAAAAGTTGCTGCCAGAACTTATATTTGAAGGGCTGATCAGGAAACCTGGTTAACATTGTTCCTAGAAAAGTATCTGAATGCAGGCTCTATTCAGACCCTCTAAACAGGAAGTTAACAGACATCACACAGTCAGGGGAGGCAAACCACAGTGTCATAAAGATGGATGCTACTGTCAACTACAAATCACTCTCACCTCATGGAGAGTGTTCTCGAGTAAGGAATAAGCGGCAGGACAAAAGTCTGTAAGTCTTACCTCTTCTCAAACTGGGTCACAGTCTACTTATCTACCTTGTTTCATGATCACTATCACTGCCACTAAGATTAAAAACTATATTCCTCAAAATGAAGACAGTCCTACCCAGATCAGTATTCCCATTAACTAATTATTCACATAGGATATCTGCTTACAAAGCCTAAGGAAAGCCTTTCCTTGTCCCAGCACATTCCCGAATAGCCTGGGACTGGACATCAGTCATGAAAAAAGCAGCACCATTTCCAACAGGTGTGAGCCTTCCCTCAAAATATACTGAACCCCCCCATAGTGCCTCCAGAAATGGCTTCCTTCCCAATCAAGTAGTGAAAGAAATGCTACTCTGGGACAATACTCTACCAAAACTGCTCCACTACCAAAAATATCAATCCAAGTGGTTACCAGACTTCAAGGAAGGGTTTTGGTCAGCATATCAAAAAAAGAGCAATAAAGTTAGCACTGAGCTCCCAATAAGGTTAATCCCCAGCAACATATAGACACCACACTGCTGCCAGAAAACATCGAAGTCATCTGCCTGGGAGAAAGACTGGATGGCTGGAGGACAGAGGTGGAAGGGAAGCTTTCTTTTCACTTTGCACCACATGCATTGTCTACTCGAAACATAAATTTTTAGACAAGAAAATGTCCTAAAAACTACAAAAGCATCAGCTTTCCTCCAACACAGACCTGATAAATCTGCGTTTACTCCATCAGCTACAAGTCCAAATCCCTCTTTTACAGTCTGGCCTGACACTGCTCTTTCCCTTTGCTGAAATAAACATTAAGTATCCCCCACTACTCTCCCCCCCCCCCCCACATACAAGCCCTCCAAATAACCATTTACCAGAAACGAGAAAACTGGTTCCCAGTAAGCTACTTGATTCTCCAGAGGCGAGCAGAGGAAAAGGCCGATAGCTAGCTCAGTTAGCATCCACATGCCACCCACCATCAAAGCCTCGGTCTGCACCTCAGTGCCAGCCCCACGAGCCAACATCTTGTGTTTGGGAGGAAGTTGAAGCTAGGGGAGAATTCACAGAGGCCACCATACCTTCAGGAAGGCAGAAAGCTGTCCCGGGCCCGCGAATGGCACCCAAGTCTCCGCACTCGCAGGAGTGAGCTCCTCTGTGCAAGTGAGAGCAGGGAGGCCAAAAGTACTCTGAGTCCCGGTGTGCTTAGGGAAGGAGAAGTTCTATGGACCCGGGGCACCGCACTGGGACACGGATCCAGCGTGTCCCAGACGCCCAGTCGCCATGGAAGGTAAGTAACCACCCGGGCTGAGACAATTCCCTTCTCCTACGGGAGGGCGAGGGACCGGTGGACGACGAAATAAAGGGGTAAGCTCTGCGCTCCTGATCCCTTTCCCGAAATAAAGATAATTGTGTCGCGCTTCCTTCACCCTTCAGGATTTCCCCATTTGTCCCATCCGCCGGCAAACATAAGACTGAGAGCAGGGAGCGGCCCCCGCACCCTGAGGGCACCACTGGGGGTGGAGAGAGTTAAAAAAAAAGGGGGGGGCGCGCTAGAGAGGAAAGGAGGGGAGCATGGCGGGCATGAGGCAGTGAGTGAAAGCGGGGATGGCAGGGGAAACGGGGCGTGAGGGAGGGGAGAAAGAGTAAAAGGAGAAGAAATGAAGGGACACGAGCTGGGGGCGCGCG